CTGTTGTTTCTCAGCAAACACGATTCGAAATTATAACATGAATCATTGACTAGCTTCACATTCTCACAATCCCCTGAATCAGATTGAAGAGAACTAAAACGATAATTTCTTGATATCACATCCTTTCTCCATCTTTTCAGAATGTACCTTTCAGGAATTTCTTTCACACCACATCTCATCATTATTGTAAAAGCATGTCTGCATAAAACACCCATACGCTTGAAATGTTCACAACTGCAATTTATTTCTTTCTCTTCAGCTTTTATTTCAACCTGATACAAAAACATAATAAAAAATTTTAAAAACAATTTAAACAAAAATTACACATTTACATCATATATGATACTCATATATGAACAATCATATATAAGTATTCATATATGAATATATATAAACATTACATTTTTCATAAAAAAAACTATTAAATTACCTTAAATTCATTTTTAAATTCGCTTTTAGTGTTGTTGTGTTGCACAAATATAAACTTCCCACCATCTTCAATACCAACATACAAGTATGTACAGAAAAAACTTGCTTTATATATATTTCCTTTTGCACCTCAAAAAATAATGTACTTGTATAAACCTTTGATGCTTGTAGTTCTATTTCTCGAGGTGTTTGCATTTTATATGATGCTTTCTTTGATGCCTTATCAAGCTCTCGTTGAGTATTCCTTTGCTTTTGAATGGCAGTGTCGTAATTCATCATGAAATTCAAAAGTAAATTACCACTTTCTGAGTAGGTATTAAAGAATGAATTCATACTCTCTGACCTCGACGTAGTCTTCATCACACACACACATTGCAATATCATTAAAATATCCAGGTATCCATGAATCATGTTTTGTAAACATGTCTTTAAACCATCTCGTGTCTTCCAGATTGAATTCCTTCATAAGCAAACCCCATTTCACCTCAAATACATCAGGTTTCATATTAATGTCCCAAACAAGCTTCGAGAATCTTTTTCTAAAGTCTGTGTTCGTAAATAAATCATCTGATATCTTTATAACAAAAATAATAAAAATTCTATATTTATTCATAAATGAATAATATGAATAAGTAAAATATCAATAAATATTCATAAATGAATAAACTAATATTTGAAAAAATTACTATATTCATCTATGAATAACTAAATACTATCATACATATTTGAAATATAATAAAATGATACCTTGTTTTTCAACTTCTTCATTATATGCCACATACATAATTGGTGCTTTGAATTAGGAAAAACATTCTCAATAGCTTGTTTTATTGCATCATCTTGATCGGTTAAAACAAGTGTTGGTTCTTTCCCATGAGTTTTAAGAAACGCTTTAAGCAACCAAGAGTATGACTCAATGCTTTCATTGCTTAGCAAACCCGCTCCAACAGTAACTGATTTTTTATGATGGTCAATAGCAGTAAATGGAACAAAAACCATTCGATACCTAACACACACAAAAAAAGTGTTCATTAAAGTCAATTTTTGATGTATTCATAAGTAAATATAAAAATATTCATGTATGAATCAATTACAGTATTATTAGAATAATTTCAACAATAAAACTGAACATGAAACGTACAAGTTAAAATATTCATATATGAATAAGCAATAAAAAAGTAGATAAAATAACTTACTTGTTTGTTCGGAAAGTCGCATAAAACGAGATAACATCACCAAATTCAGCATAATATGCCTTCTCAATTTCATCAGCCCAAAACATACAGTCCAAAACATCATCTTGACAATTAAACTCAAATGAGTAATTTGGATAGTGAGCTCGACGGTCATTCATTGTTTTTACTATCATTTTGGCATCTTTATAACCTATAACCCTGTTGATATCTCTCCTTAAATTTTTATAGTCAACTACTTTGGGCTTTACAAACTCATACCCACCTCTCAGACCTGCCCTCAACTTATGAGCCATAGTTGGACCTATTTTTGATGTGGAAGCATGCACTATAAACTCTTTTTCTGAATATGACATTTGCCTCGCTTTTTTTAAATCACTTCTCTTCTCAAGTGGATGGCTGTGAAGTTCATCAAACTGAAAAAACTTTATAATATGGAGTTCCATACACAGATTCGAATATAATCTTTGCTTGACAACCAATAACTCTTGAATTTGAATTTCGTTTCCTCCTAACACCACTTGTAGCCAATGTGTCACAAGATTTCTTTTTCTGTTTGCTACCACGATTACATATAACATGTTTCTTCTTTATAATCTTGTTATCAAACCTTGACTGCGTACTCAGTCTCACATCAAAACCACCAATTTTAGCATACTCAGAATACATTTTGATGGCCAACTTTAATGATTTGAAGATTAAACCTTTAAATGTAATAAGTTGAACAGGTACATCTGGCTTATAGACATGTTCTCCAATTATATCACCACAATATTGCGCATCATCTTCTGAACTCGAAGATTCAACACCTAAAAAATTATAAATCTAAATCAATCTAATAATGCATGAATAAAACAATCATATATGAATTACATGAAATTCATATGAATAAAATAAAAAACAATGTTTATTAATGGATTAATAAAACATTCATATATGAATACATAAAATTCATGAGGATTCAAAATATATAAAATAAACATAACTTATTCATATATGAATAAAACGAAAATAATAATAAATTCGAAATTTCAATTATCACACGTTTATTCATATATGAATAAGACAACAATTTATTCATATTAACATATTCATATGTCAATATATGATAATCAACAAAATTAAAAACAACAAAATAATTCAATAACTGATATCTTCAAAAAATGAGTTCTCAACATCTTTTTCTTCACTCTCCCACATAGAAGAATACAAATCACCATCAATAACACTAGAATTCGACATAATAAACCAAATGATTTGTATAAATAAACAAAAACAATCTTAATATCGAATATATCTCACAAAAAAGTCGTAAATATGAAAACCTGGTTAATTTCGAATATATCTCACCTCAATGTACAAAATATCTGAAAGAAACTTAAATCAGCTCTATCAGATGATGCAATTAATCAATCTCTCTCAGTTCAGAGCGTAAAAACTACAACGATATATCCGATTGAAAATTAAATCAGCTCCGATTTGAAATAAAGATCTCAAACTACATAATAAAAATCCGATGAAACAACTCCAATACATATTCGAAACTTCAGCAAAAACAAAAATAATACACGTAATTCCAAACAAATTATATAAAGCAATAATCTTGATAATGAACTCCGATATATCCGATTCAAACAATATACATACCTAATCAAATCGGAAACTGAATACGGAGAAGAAAACTGAAACACGGATGCGAAACTTCACGATTAATGGAAAAAATACGTATAATTGCTAACGAGTTTTATAAAAAAGAATATTGATAATGAATTCCTCATATCCGATTCAAACGAGATAAAGATATTATCAAATTGGAAACTGATAACAACGAACATGTAAGTTCTATATAAAAAAAATTGCTAATTTACAAAGATACCCTTAATGAAAAATTACACGCGCATTTTTTTAAGGTGTACATGTTAGATAAATGATTGGCTGAGAATGATTCCTTCATTCTCTACATTTTTTATTTTCTTAATTGAACTCACCTCTCTCTTTTTCTCTCTCTCTCTCTCTATCTATATATATATATATATAATATATATATATATATATATATATATATATATATATCTATATATATATATAAGAGATTAAAGTAAAATACTTAAAAAGTAAGAATAATAAAACCTCCTAAATCGATTATTTGATTAAAATCGATGAATATTTCCTATTATTTTCAGTTTTCACCTCCTACCAAATTATATGACTAAGAAAAATCCAACGTAAAGACACTCTAGTGCTTTCTGCCTAACTTTATCTTCTAACTCCGTTTATTTATTTATCTTATTTAAATTACACGAACTTGTGTAAAAAGTCAAACTTCAAACTTCAAAGCTAAGTTTATTAATAATTTCAATTTGGTTAACAAAGCTAAAATTGTTTAAAATATGTCTAATTATAATGCAAATAACCATTTGGGTGTATCCACGCTAACAAGAAGATACTTAGGTCCCGTTTGATAGTTTCTGTCTGGGAAAATGCTGTTTGGTAAAGTGCTGTCTGGGAAAGTTTTCTGACTGGGAAAGAAACCATGCTGTTTGATTGTATATCTGATTGACTGTGCTCAATGATGAAAAAAAGTAATAATTCAATAAAAAATAAATTTTAAAAAAAGTTATTTAAAAAAATTAATAATCCAAGAAAGAAAGAAAGAAACAGGGTTTGGTGCATAATTGTCTTTCCAGCCCATTCAGCCAGAAAGATATGATTTTGAGGCTTTCTGGGAAAGACATATCTTACCGGGAAAGACCCATTTTTTGTGCAAATCAAACAGTCTTTCCGGTCCATTCAGCCAGAAAGATCTGTTTGGACCTGGAAAGATGCGTATCAAACGGGACCTTAGGAGTTAGGACCATTCACACCACTATTTAGTCTTTTAAATGGTTTCCATTTATCAGCAACTTATTTATATTTTTTAACAAATACTTATAATTACTAGTCGTGTAGTCGAGAATCTTATAAGCGGTACAAACATTGTCAAAATTCAAAATATTAAATACAAAGAGTTTTTTTATATTTAAAATTGGAAAAATATAATTTAAATTAAAAGTTACAACTTAATCCACCTAGTCGTCATGTTTTGAAATTGATCAATGTTATGGCATCAAAAACCTATAGACACACATCATTGTAAATAAAAATGACTAAACAATCATTTAAAATTTGATCATTCATGCTATTTCACGACTTATTCTCTCTACATTTGCCATAACAACTAGAAAATATATATTTTATGTAGTTATCAAATCACAAACATTAAAAACATGGTACAATCCCTTTATCTAAGGATATAATAACATAGATCATGTTTACAAATAATTTATATATATATATATATATATATATATATATATATATATATATATAACAATTTTTTTTCCTAATAATTACCTTTAATTAACATTTAAGTAACATACAACGAAGATTGGCGCCAAGTTCCTCGTAGGCAATCCAAAGCAGAGGTCATGAAATTGATGGACAATATACAATATTCTTCCTCCAAAACTTGCCTCCAGACTAGGATGTGGCAACACTATGAAGACATTTAAACAAAGTGGTCATCTTTCCCTTAACGACTTTCAACATATTAGTTTAATAGGTTGTATTTACAATTTAATTGTATAGGTTTTGGCTTGAAGGTTGAAATATATAATTGACTCGAAGATCAAAGAAGTGAAGTCAGTCTTATTCACATGCAAAAACATCCTGGACGGTTTCATTGTTGTCAGTGAAATCATAACATAGGCCAAAAATGTTATCTAGAAAATGCTTATTTTTAAGATTGACCTTTCCAAAAGCATTTGATCCCTTAAATGGAACTACTTAGATTCCATCATCAAACAAATAAGCTTCGAACCGAAATGACAATCTTGGATCTATGTTTACCTATGTTTGGCCCGTATCTCATTGTGATTAATGGCTACCCCTCAACCTAGTTCCCTAAGGGAAAACATGTTAGGCAAGGCAACCCTTCAATTTTTATTTATTCTTTTTGTTGGTTGTTGAAACTCTCTAAAATAAAAATAAAACTAAAAAACCTCTTTCTTTGTGTCTGTTTGTGAAAAAAATAAACCCGAAATTTTACACCTTCAATTCACCGATGACATGATCTTCCGAGGGGAATGGTTCACCGAAAGAACCTTCAATTTAGTTAGAATTCTCCATTGCTTCAGGCTAAAATGTTAATCTTTCCAATAGTAAATATTATTATTCAAGTTTGGTTATATCACCACAGAGCCGTTTGCTATGAGGAAAAATATTAGGGGTGAGCATGAGTAGTGAAATTCCAGACCCAAACCGACATCATTTATGTTAATATGAGACGGTCTACGGTACTCGAAAATAACGAAATTTTGGATTTGGTACCACTGCTAGCATTGGAAACCAGATTACTGATAATGTGTGTTCATTTTGGTGTTCAGTATCAACTTTCCATCCAATTCAGTACTTGTTAATGTCAGGTCTCGGATCTCAGACCTGTTCTTCCATGCTCAATTGATTTGGGTGAGAGGCTCACCAATTTTAAATTAAAAGAAAATCAAAACTAATTCCTTTTGGCGACCTACGCTATAGTAACAATCCAAGTTCACCAAGGATCGCCCCACGTGTCCATCATTTACTAGTTGAGTTAAATTAACTTTTGTAATTAGATCTAATTTTGTTAGTAGTTGTCTTTTATTTTAAGTAAAAAAGAAATAAAAGATACCAAAAAACATGATTAACTTTTTTATACTTTTTTAATGGAGTAAAAAATTGAGTTTAATTGAGTTATTGATATGGAAGAGAGAATTTAGTTTTTTAATAAAAAAATGGGTTGGATTGAGTTGTGATAAAAGCTTTTGGGATGGGATGGGGGTTTGAGACTATTTTTATTTAATAATAATATTTTTATTTAAATTATATTAAACAAATTGTAAAAAACATTTAACAGAAATAAATCATTTCATTCATTTTGAATAGAAACAAAAACATCAGTGAAAAGACCTATCATAAATATATTTTATGAAACAAAAATCACAAGTACGCACTCCAAAAAAATGCCATGCCACAAAGACAATTTCTACATTTTACTTTATTTCTTCTTCTTCTTATTATTATTATTTAATTTCACAAAGATATATAAAATAATTTTTTTTTAATACACACGAACTATGAACATCGATCACAGATTTATAAATTTGATCAAAATCTTTTAATTAAGAACCTAAATTAGACGCTGTGTATTTTTGTTGGTGCCAACATCATTAAACAAGGGAAAACAAACCCTTAATTGTAGGATCAGAACAAACATCGAAGTTGCCAAAGTGCATTTATAACTCAATTATAACTTTTTGTCTTATATATTATTTTATTTTTAATTTATAACATTTTCTGTTTCTTCCAAGAGAAAAATAAATCTTAAACATGCATCATAATCCAAGTGAGCATAACATTATGGCACCATGATTATAATTGATAAAACTTATTGACTCATTTTTTCAGTTTTAAATTTAATTAAATTCGAATTCTGTTTTTGAAGTTAAGTAGAGCCTAACTCCACTCAAAAAGTTCATGCTTTAGCTACACTTTTTTTTTTAATTTCAAAACTACTCTGATTATCAAATTTCCAATTTCAAAATTGGAAAAAATCATAATAAAAATATATTTGAAAACTAAACCCTAATTGTTGAATCGGATGTGAACATCTTCTGTAAATTCAACTATTACACAAGAACAAGAAGAAGAAATAAAATAATATCAAATATCAGATCCTCTTTTTGATGGAGAAGAAGCCAATGGAAGTACCTGTGAAGGCGTAGACATTTGATGATGAATCCCTTCTGCATTTTTGCCCTTATTACCATCCAATATTACAAATTTACCATCTTTCACTTTCTCATTCTCTTCGGTATCTTGATTCATGATTAAACTCGCCCTTTTCTCAGATTCTAATTCCATCAATCTTCTCAGTAATTTCTCCTCTGCATCTCTCAAGAATTTGAACGTGGGAGGTGGTGAAGATCTAATCTTGTTGAAATCAAAATCCTTAGAGTCAAAATCATACAATGGATTCATATAAACTTCCAAATTGGGACCTTGTGTGGCCTTCTTAAAATGCGATAACGAAATTGGTGTATCTGGTGTGTGAAGAAGCTCACTCAAACTTACTGTTCTTGAACCCCTTCTACCTTCTGATTCCATATCCAAACTGGTTTCTTTGTTGATTGTGAAAAGAAACCTCGGAGGGCCACATAAATTATGAAGCCTCATGAGTTCAAGATCGATGCTTTCTTCACCGAAACCCTTCAATGGCGGATCTTTTTGTGTGGGCTCTTGTTGTTTTTCACGATTCTCACTCTCATCAGAAGAATTCTGCAAATCTTTCTGTTGGGTTTCGGGGATTGTTGAAGAATTAGGGTTTTTGAAACAAGAGGAGATGTGAGTAGGGGTGTATTTGGAAAAAGAAGAAGAAGGAGAGTTTTGGTTTTCAATATCGTGTCTTCTCTTCTTCCACCATACAAGATAGTAGAGCTCTAAGGCAAAAGCTAAGAGGACAAATCCAAAGAGAAAACTCAAACCAATTCCTAAACGACTAAAGGATGCCATGTTATTGTTTACACTCCAAAAAGATTCAACTTTTTTTCAAGATTTTCCACACTAACTTGAATAATCAAGCTCCATATGAACTTAACTCATAAGTTTTTTTTTTATCATAATTTCTAAATAATTGAGAAAAAACCCCATTACTTAAAACGAAGAAAAATAAATTGAGAATCTTTTAAGATAGAAAAACTTAGAAAGAGCCAAGGAAGGTGACCTTTCACCCGAAGTTCACATGCTCAGAAAAGATTTTAAACCATAAAAGAACAAAGCTTTGTTAGATACCCTTTTCCAGAAGCAAGAGAATAGGCTAAAAAATCAGAAGAAAAAGATGATTATATGAAGATGAAGGTTCGATATTTTTCTTTAAAAAATGGGGATTAAATTATAGTAATAAAATAAAATTTGAAGTTGGAGTGGGGAACAGAAGAAAGGAAGGGTTGTGAATTTAAAAAGATTTGGAGAGAATGGGTTACAGAGCTCATATGGGTTGGCAAATATGGGTTATAATATGAACAAAAATGAATTTGGAAAGTAAATATTGACTAAAATTTGAAATTGGAAAGTAAATATTGGGAAATTGAAAGAGAGAAGAAACACGTTAATAATGTTTTAGAAACCGGATCATGTACTAATTTGGAAGTTATCAAACGATTGTGTCATTATGTAATATTTATTTTTAACAATCATGTAATGTTTTGAAATTTAACATCGATATAAATATGTAGTTTTTATGTACACAATTTAAGATTGAAATGTGATAAATTTCTAAAAAATTCAATGAATATGAGAAGAGTTCACACAAGATTTTAAGGCTGAATAACCTTAAAATAATCGCCACATTAATAAAAGAGTGTATATATATTACTTTGTACGTATTTTTCAATTTGCAAAGATTTTGAATTAAATGTTTTGCTATTGAAGTCGTACAACTACAATCCATCCATTAATACAAATCAATATCTATACTTGTACTTTGATATGGTCCATATGGACCATATTGTTTATATTTAATTATATAGTTATGTTGATTGTGATCGTTGACAAATTTAAACCACTTGTTTTATTAATATTCCAATATTGTTGCACCTATATATAAAATCTCGAGTATATATCACGACCAAAAGAAATACTATAAAAGATCATGATTTCGAGGAAAACACATAAAACTTATTGCATCATTTTCGAACGACCCCAATACTAAGTTTTCTTGCAGCATCCATTGAACGACCCCAATGCTACGTTTTCTTGCAACATCAATACGGCAACTGTAGTGTTTGACTTTACATAGCTTCACAATTAATTTAAAAGTACAATTATCAAAAAAGATAAGTACAATTATCAAACAAACTAATAAAACCTTGCAAAAACTTCAATGAAGTGTTTCAAAAACATATCACCATTAAGGTAGGATAGTAGTTATCCTCTCATATACATATAGCACTCAAAAATCAAGTTAATACTGCCTAGGGCCTCGTCAAAAGGATGGGGCAACTTAGACGACCGCCTAAGGCCTCGTAATAGTTCCTGAACCAGTTTTGAATCCTATAATATACTTATGTATGTATATTTTTTATATTACAACGACTAAACATTAATAAAATTGACAGTGGAAGAGATGAATCAAGGAGTTTTTCAATTGTTTTTTATATATATCACATAAAAGTTACAGGGGAATGACCTTTTATACGTGAGCCAAAGATAACAAACTTAACTGACTTCAAGGAAAAGATAATTATCATCCACATAAAAGATAAATACTACACAGATGTCTAGATAATCTAAACGGTATAAAATAAGTTCCATTACTCCCCCTCAAGTTGGAGCATGTAGATTACGAATGCCCAACTTGACAGCCAAGGCTTGAAGTCTTTCAGATCCAAGTGGTTTAGTAAGAAGGTCTGCCAACTGATTTGTTGTATGAATGGCAACTGGTTCAATCTCTTTAGAATCGACTCTTTCTCGAACAAAGTAGCAATCCATTTCCACATGTTTGGTACGCTCATGGAAAACTGGATTATGAGCAATGTGGCGAGCAGACTGATTGTCACAGAAAAGCTTGGTAGGTGAAGAAACAGGAAAGCCAAGCTCAGACAACAACCATCGCATCCACAACACTTCACTAACTGTGGTGGCCATAGCTCGGTACTCAGCCTCTGCAGACGAACGAGATACCACAGACTGTTTCTTTGACTTCCAAGAAACAGGAGCGCCACCCAGCAACAATAAATAACCCGTTCTTGACCTCCTCGAGAACGGACATCCTAGCCAGTCCGAATCACTATAAGCCATGATATCATCTCCCTCATCTTTAGATAGAAGGATTCCCTGCCCCAACGTAAACTTTAGATAACGTAGCACACGCATGGCAGCATCCCAATGACTTTGTCGTGGGTCAGCAACAAATTGACTAAGTATGCTCACCGAATAAGAAAGTTCTGGGCGAGTGGCTTGTAAATAAAGTAATCGTCCAACCAAACGCCTATACCTGCTTACATCCACACGCTCTTCTTCATCACCTTTATCTAATTTTAAATGCTGTTCCATAGGGAACCGGCTAGGACGACAACCAAGTAAACCTGCATCCTCAAGAATATCGATAGAATACTTGCGTTGACTTAGGACAAGACCTTCTTTTGTTCGAGCCACTTCGATGCCGAGAAAGTATTTAAGATGCCCAAGATCTTTAATACTAAACTGTTCATCAAGATATCGTTTCGTTTCTTCAATTTTTGTACAATCATTGCCCACAACAATGACATCATCAACATAGATCAAAGCTGCAACAAAAATAGTCCCACTTTTGAAAGTGAACAACGAAGGATCCGCATGAGATGGAGCGAAACCAAGAATTTGTAAAGCAGCGGTAAACTTGTAGAACCAATTTCTAGAGGCTTGTTTGAGTCCATATATGGACTTTTTGAGTCTGCAAACTCGGTTGTCATTTTTCTGTCCGAACCCTTGAGGCATTTTCATATAAACCTCTTCCTCAAGGTCTCCGTGTAGAAAGGCATTATTCACATCTAGCTGATTAATTATCCAATCATTCTTGATGGCAATTGTTAAAAGGACACGGACTGTAACCAATTTAGCCACAGGTGCGAAAGTGTCGTGAAAATCTACTCCTTCCATTTGTGTATAGCCCTTAGCCACGAGCCTTGCTTTGTATCTTTCAACTTCACCGTTAGGCTTGTACTTGATTTTGAACACCCATTTGGAATCTATGGCGCGTTTACCTTTTGGTAAATATGTTACCGCCCATGTTTCATTCAACTCAAGAGCTTTTATTTCTTTGTGCATGGCCATTCTCCATTCCGGATCACGAGAGGCCTGTTTGAAAGTTTTGGGCTCATTGTGTGCCACAATGGCCACTAGAAAAGCTTTATGAGAGTTAGAAAATTTTTCATATGAAACATAGTTAGTGAGAGGATGTACTGTGGAAGCGACTTGATTGGGAGTACTTTGTGAGTGATTGACGGATGGGGGCAGTGTGACGTTGTAATCTTTGAAGCGAGCTGGTGGATTTTTGATTCTGTCGGGGTGAGCCGTTCTATCTGGGCTGGCAGAACTTTCAATATTTAACTCTGTGTCAGTTTCGTTATCATGGGCTTGCGAGGTATCTTGGACTGATGCAGCATTATGGGCTGACGTCGCTGTATTGGGCTCGTGCGTCGACTCCAGCGAAGGCGGAATGGTCACCTGTTGATCCGCCGACTCCTCCACAATGGGCTCACTGTTGTATATTGGGCTGGGTTCATGCGTCCTGTAGCCTGCTTCAAATGTACATTCCTCAGACTCCACATTATAATCTAAATTGCTCATGGGAAATGTATCCTCCAAAAAACGAACGTCTCTAGATATGACAATTTTATGGCTTTCCAAATCATAAATCTTATAGCCTTTAACACCTTGTAAATACCCCACAAATATTCCCGGTCTCCCACGAGGCTCGAACTTATCTCCGCCAGTTTCTGTGCTACGGTAGTATGCTAAACATCCAAATACTCGCATATTATCATAGCTAGGCTTTTGACCATAAAGAATCTCATAAGGTGTCAACCCATTCAAGACCTTTGATGGCATTCTATTGATGACAAAAGTAGCAGTTAAAATACACTCTCCCCAAAAATGCTTTGGTAAATTTGCCTCAAACCTGAGAGCTAGCGCTGTCTCGAGAAGATGACGATGCTTGCGCTCCACAACTCCATTTTGTTGTGGAGTGTAAGGGCACGACGTTTCAAGAACCATCCCTTCTTTTGCATAAAATTCTCGCATGGCATTAGATACAAATTCTCCCCCGTTGTCGCAACGTATGCGTTTTATTTGTTTATTAAACTGGGTTTTGATCATCCTGCAAAAGTCTATTACACATGTACTAGCTTCATCTTTGTGTTTAAGAAGAAAGGTCCACACGGCACGACTAAAATCATCCACTATGGTTAAAAAATAAAAAGCTTTATTTAACGAAGGAGTTCTATATTTTCCCCACAAATCACAGTGAATTAATTCGAAACAAGAAATCGTCTTTATTGTACTAAGAGGAAAAGGTAGCCTTGTGTGTTTTGCTTTGTAACAGGCATCACAATTCGTAGTCTTATTTGAAACATCTTTAATAAAATCTAAAGTAGAAATCTTCTTATTTGAGGGATGTCCAAGTCGCTTGTGCCAAACTTCAAAATTGACCATAAGAGCTTGATGCTTCTTTGCCTCCTCCATCCGGTACAACCCTTCTGAAAAGTTACCCGCACCAATCAAGTGCTTCGTTGACAGATCCTGCATCACAAAAAATCGTGGAAAAAAAGTAACGGCACAATTGAGGCTATTTGTAAGTCTCCCAACCGACAAAAGGTTATAATTGAAATCTGGCACGTGTAAAACACGATTTATTTTAATACCACCGGGCAAAAAATGAACACCTTCTCCCTCAACAGACACCTTTTCACCATTAGGGATGACAACAGGTGTCTCTTTTGGGTTTTTAGTGACATTTTCTAAAAAATCGATTCGATGGGTGATGTGTTCAGTAGCTCCTGAATCCACAACCCATTCGCCATTAGAATCAATTTTACCTGCCATATGTGCCATTGGTTGAGTGTTTTTACCGTCCACAATGTTCTCCTCCAAATCTCTCCATATTTCCGACGAGGTCTTCGCATACCTCACGCTGGTCCTTATTTCTCGCTCCATTGCAGTCGTCAGCCACCCTTTTATCATAGCATCAGCCCTCACCCATGCAAGAGACATCGGTGATCCGGCTCCTGGTTTCTCGATGGTTCCGTCGACTAGTCTCATCTTGTTTTTCGCCAACAAGAAATTGGTCATCTCTTGTTTCCATTCGTTGTAATTGTGATCGTTCAAGACATCATTCACTTGCATCTGTTTGGGATAATCAGACGGGTGAATATAGTATGGCGAGTTGACATCAATCGTCTCCCCACTGGTTTCTTTTCCTGAACCTGTTGGTTTGTCTCCCGCCATGATCTATGACGGATTTTAGAGTTTCTTCTAGATCGTTGGCTCTGATACCATAATAAAATTGACAGTGGAAGAGATGAATCAAGGAGTTTTTCAATTGTTTTTTATATATATCACATAAAAGTTACAGGGGAATGACCTTTTATACGTGAGCCAAAGATAACAAACTTAACTGACTTCAAGGAAAAGATAATTATCATCCACATAAAAGATAAATACTATACAGATGTCTAGATAATCTAAACGGTATAAAATAAGTTCCATTAAACATGTCAAATGAAA